GGGTGGACTCTTGTTGTACACTGGATGCACTGTCAGCATTGGGGCGCTGGCAGCTTTGGTACATTGCTGCCTTTGAAGCATTGCTGCCACCACCTCTCAAAGGCACTCTGTACCGTCCCTGGTTGCTGCCACCACCTCTCAAAGGCACTCTGTACCGTCCCTGGTTGCTGCCACCACCTCTCAAAGGCACTCTGTACCGTCCCTGGTTCTTTATATCGCCTGCTCCTGATCGGAATCTCAGACAACCGATTCCAGGTCAACTAGCCAAGCCTTGTAGCAGGGAGGTTGGAAAAGCAAGTTTGTGATATTAATGGCATTTTGGCAGAAACTTGGGCTGTGCTCACATTGAGTATAATTCCAAGCTAAGGGTTCCCATGGGATCCTTTTAAGCATACTGGATGATGCTCAGTTGGTTTTGAAGTATCTCAAAGGTGTTTTGGGGGCATTAGCCAGAAGGTGTAGGTCATCCCTTTTCCACTTTGTAAGAGTGGTCAATGATGACTGGGTGTGGTGATAAATGTTTGTAATCTAACCTCTTGAGATTGATGCAGGATTCCCTGCAGGTTTGAATCCAGCCTGGGCTAAATAGCAAGACCTTTTCTCCCCTGGCTCCCAAAAGGGTGGGTGATAACTCAGAATGTTCACATGTTATTGTCACAAGACCTGGGTTTGGATCTCAGCTCTAACAGCAACAGAAAAAATAAAATGATCTGGAGCCAGCCCACTTCCTGTGCAGAGCAACACTGCCTCAGTAATATTGTCGGGATGTAAGTGATGCATGCAGAATACCAGCACAGTGAGCACTGCTCACAAAACAAAACAAGAGGCTACCTGGCTCAAGTTTTCATATTTCATACATCTTTAATAAATAGTTAAATATTTAAGCTAACATAATTTGGAATAGCACTTTCAGCATGGCTACCAAGTCAAAATATTCTTGTGACATAAGGCATTATTTGCCCTTTTCAGCAGCATTTTCTTGTGAACAGGCTCCCAGAGGCCATATGACAAACAATACCACCACACGTTGGATGTAAAAGCAGATTAGGTTTCATATTAAAGCACTTTGCAAATATGTAAAACTGTGATGCTGTTTTTATGAGTTTTTCTTTTATTCTGGAATTTTTTTTTGGTTTTACCAGACAGGGTTTCTCTGTGTTGTTTTGGAGGCTGTCGGTCCAGCCCAGCCCCGAACTCACAGAGATCCGCCTGCCTCTGCCTCCCGAGTGCTGGGATTAAAGGCGTGCGCCACCACCACCCGGCTCCTAGTCTGGAAATTTTTTAAAACAAAAAATTGTGTTAATATGCAATGGTGTTCTTATTTTATAAGATTAAATATTTTTAAATTCCCCCTTTCCATTTGGCAACTATTAGTAAGATAACATATGGAAATGAATTGGATATCAGTAATTGTTAAGCTTATAAAAGGGTCTCAATCCCAAAAGGTTGGAGAATTTCTGTTTAAGGGAAAATGATTCTGTGAGAGAAAGCTGAATTTGAACTTATTGTAAGTATCTAAAGGGACTTTTACTTCCTTAAGTATGTGGGCCTGGAAAAACTTTCCAAAATCTTTATTTTAATAAAAAGTATGGTATGCATGTAGAGATTAAATGAAAATAAAAACTTTGTTCATGGGGACAACTTATATAGAAATAGGCAATAAAATAAAGGGATCATTTGGGTGAAGAAATAGGATGAAGAAATTCACGATTATGGTGAAGTAGACACCACCGCATCTCCTTGGTGTCCTGTCCCTGGAGCCTTAATTCAGTAAATGTATTTATGAGTCAACGTCGCAGTATTGTTTTCTCTCTGTTTCTTGTGGCCCAGGCTCACCTTGTACTCATGATCCTCTTGTCACCTGCAGGGCTACAGATGTGTGTGTCATGCCTGGTTCTCTCCAGTGATTTGACTTTCTATTTCTCAAAACGAAGCATGTCCTGCTGTTTCTCTCATTATTTCAACAAATACCTGATTACCTACCATGTACTATGCTCTATTTTATGCTTATTGCGACACACTGATAACATCAAGGTCCTTGCCTTAAGGAGGTAATGCTTAGCTGGAGTGAGGAATTAACAAGGGAACGGAAGAAACAAAGTGTAGTTATAGATAATCGCAGATTACAGCAAGTGCCATGAAGGGGTAATGGAGTAAGAAGGAAAAACACAGGAGCATCAGGAAGTCATCTTTGAGATACTTAAAGGACCAGATGTGTCAGGTGGAGCCAAGACATAACTCCCAGCAGAGGCTCTGAGGTGTGCCTGGAGTGTGTCAGACTGAGCACAGACGGACACAGTGAAGTTGGAAAGGTAGATAGCGTCTCGGTCATGACAGACTTAGGGACTCTGCAAAGAAACCCGCAGCTGTGACGTATGGATGGCTTTCCTGTGTCTAAGCCTGAGGGACCTGTGAGTCAGAGTAGGATGTGAGCGAATGCAGTTTAAGTCTTCAGAGGTGGCTGTGGTGGAAAATGACCACCATTTCTCACAAGTGCCCTCGTTCACATTTTCAAGGAAAGACAATGACCCAGAGACCAATTTTTCTCCAATGCTAGTAGAATGATTCTATCTTCATTGCTCACAATTTGTTCAAAGGAGATAACACTTGAAAAAAAAATTAGGTTCCTTAGATTGTTTTTTATCTTTTTTTTATTTAGAAACAATCATTTTACATATCAATCCCTCCATTCCCTCTCCCTCCCGTGCCCCCTACCAACTCACCAACCCATCCCAAACCTGATCCCTAAGGACAGTGAGGCCTTCCATGGGGGATCATCAATGTCTGTCACATCATTTGGGGGGGGGGGCTAGGCCCTTTTTCATGTATCTGGGATGCTTTAGGGAAAGGGCTCCTGAAGTCCATTTCTGTACTAGGGATAAATACTGGTTCCACTGTTAGAGGTCCTATAGACTGCACAGGCCTCCTGATTGACACCCACATTCAGAGTGCTGGTTCCCAAGCTTTATGGCTGGGGTCTCTGTGCTCTCACTAGGTCAGGTCAGCTGTTTCTGTGGGTTTCTCCAGCACGGTCTTGACTCCTTTGCTTATCCCTCTTCCCTCTCTACAAGTGGATTCCAGGAGTATGGCTCAGTGCTTAGCTGTGGGTACCTGCTTCTGTTTCCATCAGCTACTGGATGAAAGTTCTAGGATGGCAATTAAGGTAGTCATCAATCTCATAGGGGAAGGGCATCAAAGGCAGCCTCTCCACTACTGCATACTTTGTTAGTTGGGATCATCTTTGTGGATCTCTGAATATTTCCCTAATGCCAGATTTCTCTTTAAACCTATACTGACTCCCTCTATTAAGGTATCTCTTTTCTTGCTCTCCTATATTCCTCCTCCTTCTCAGTATTCCTGATCCCTCATGTTCTCCTCCCCCTTCCTCTTCTCCCCTTCTCTTTTTCCTACCTACCTCTCCCCTCCCCCTATGTTCCCAATTTGCTCAGGAGACCTTGTCCCTTTCCCCTTCTTCAGGGGACCATGTATTTTTCTCTTAGGGTCCTTCTTGTTTCCTAGTTTCTCTGGTGGTGTGGATTGTAGGCTGGTAGTGTGCTCTGTGTCTAATATCTATATATGAGTGAGTGAGTACATACCACACTTGTCTTTCTGTGACTGGGTTACCTCACTCAGGATGGTTTCTTTCAGTTCCATCCATTTGCCTGCAAATTTCAAGATTTCATTGTTTTTTTTTTCCCCCCGCTGAGTAGTACTCCATTGTGTAAATGTACCACATTTTCTTTATTCTTCAGTTGAGGGGCATCTAGGTTGCTTCCAGGTTCTGGCTATTACGAACAATGCTGCTATGACCATAGTTGAACATATGTCCTTGTTGTATGAATGTGCATCCTTTGGGTATATGCCCAAGAGTGGGATTACTGGATCATGAGGTAGACTGATTCCCATTTTCTTGAGAAACCGCCATACTGATTTCCAAAGTGGCCACACCAGCAATGGTAGAGTGTTCTCCTTTCTCCACATCCTCTCTAGCACAGACTGTCATTGGTGTTTTTGATTTTAGCCATTCTGGCCAGTGTAAGATGGTATCTCAGAGTTGTTTTGATTTGCATTTCCCTGATGGCTAAGGATATTAAACACTTTCTTAAGTGTCTTTCAGCCATTGTAGATTCCTCTATTGAGAATTCTCTATTTAGTTCTGAACCCCACTTTTTATTTGAATTGTTTGGTGTTTTGATGACTAGCTTCTTCAGTTCTTTGTATATTTTGTCTATCAACCCTCTGTCAGATGTGGCATTGGTGAAATCTTTTCCCATTCTGTGGGCTGCCATTTTGTCTTGCTGACTGTGTCCTTTGCCTTACAGAAGCTTCTCAGTTTCAGGAGGTCTCATTTGTTAATTGTTATATCGGTGTCTGTGCTAGTGGAGTTATGTTTATGAAGTGATGTCTTGTACTAATTTGTTCAAGGGTACCTTCCACTTTTTCTTCTAAGAGGTTCAGTGTGCCTGGATTTATGTTGAGGTTTTGATCCATTTGGACTTAAGTTTTGTACATGGTGATAGATATGGATCTATCTGCAATCTTCTTCATGTCCGCATCCAGTTATGACAGCACCATTTGTTGAAGATGCTTTCTTTTATTCATTGTATAGTTTTAACTTTTTTGTCAAAACTTAGGTGTTCATAGGTGTGTGGGTTAATATCAGGGTCTTCAATTTGATTCCATTGGTCTACCTGTCTATTTTTGTGCCAATACCAAGCTGTTTTCAGGACTATATCTCTATAATAGAGTTTGAAGTCAGGGACGGTGATGCCTCCAGAAGTTCCTTTATTGTACAGTGTTGTGTTGGCTATCCTGGCTTTTTTGTTTTTCCATATAAAGTTGAATATTATTCTTTCAAAGTCTGTGAAGAATTGGGCCGGTATTTTGATGGGGATCGTATTGAATTTGTAGATTGCTTTTGGCAAGATTGCCATTTTTTTTAACATGTGTAGCTGAGTCCATGACAAATTTTTCACTAGTTTCTTCTGTGTTTATTTCAGCACTTTGCTTTTTAATGAAGTAAAATATGTTACCACCCTGGAAGACCTTCACAGCATAGAAAATTCTCTGAAAGGAAAAGCAAATATGATATTCTCATATGTGGAAGCCATCGGAACACCAGGTATCTGAAGGAGGCTTGGTCTTTGCTGTGCCTGTACTTGTGTGACTCCCCTGAAGGCCTTTGGGTGGTACACAGCTTAGTGGAGCTGTTCGACAAGCCTCTCTGCTGCTGTATCTCTGGTAATGGGCCTCATAGTGGAGCCATGCTCCAGAATCTGGCTCACCAGATGCCGAGAGAGACTTGGACAAGTTACTTCCATTTTCCAGTCTCTAGATGGGGAAAATTGTGGACAGCCAGCGAAGTCTGGAGTGAATGTGTCCTGAGTGAGTGTAGGAGTGGTGAAACCTTCCTCCAGGCGATACTCAGAGGAAAAATGCCAAAATCCTTTCTCTGGTCCAAGCACCAGGGCTTCCTCTTCCCAGATGACTGCAGTCTGAGACTGCTCCCCTACTGAGACAGTTTGAAAATACCACCCCACCCTGTGTTGTTTTGGTAGTAGGTGCACATCATCAGAGTGATCCCAGCCTCTGTGTGTGTGTGTGTGTGTGTGTCTGTCTGTCTGTCTGTCTGTCTCTCTGTCCTTTCTTCATTCCCTCACTGTACCAGTCAGGCTTCTGGGATCAAGCCAAGCAGGACATGGCAGAAAGTAATCGTGCCTCCCTCTTAGTGTTATTTCAGTGTCATTTATAAGACTCAGGTGATGTTTTCTTTCAGTGCACAGGATTGAACCCAGAATAGAATCTGAATAAACAAAATGCTCTCTGGAGTATGTAGTTGAATTGTAAACAGAGTGGTAATATTGCCAGTCTTATTTCCTTTACAGTCCTCCATGGGACCTATTATAGTTTCTATTATTTGATAAATACTATTGACTTTGGCTTTTGTTTCTGTTTTAATATTTTATAGTTTTCTTTATATAAAAATAGTTTTTGACAGAACTACCTAATTATCTGGTAAAGAAGTTTATAAACGTTTTATGAACAGATTGCAGTTATAGTTTCAGAACCGTTAGATATTAATGGTAGTAACTTATCCACGTTAATAGTTGCTGGGATCTCTCTGACCACCATATACAACAATCCACATTAGGCAAGAAGGTAGTTTGGTTCAACATGACTAAGTTGGTTCAAACTTCAGAGTCTGACCCCAGGTAGTTTATTTTAGACATATTTAAACACAGCAAAATCTGGTGAAAATTTCCTGGTGATAATTAATTCAGTCCATGTATGCAATAAAGCTTAAGATATAACTACATAGAAACTCTTTGTAAGGTACATGCAACATCTTCCATAAAGATGGGGGTTTATAGATTGACTACAAATGACACCTTCTATAAAGGTAAGCTATGTAGATTGACAAGCAGATAATAAGGGTCTGTGTGAGGATTCGGTGTGGTCTCAGCCATATGGATAGTATAAAGGTCACTACGCTATTCACCATGTCCACTTCCAGACTTGTTGGTGGAAAACTTGTTCTAGATCTCTCCCTTTGACGAGACAACCCTGTGTGTTGGCCTCTATCTCTGCCTCCTGGGCCCTGGGATTATGGTCCTGCCTGGCTTTATGTGCATTCTGAGCTTTCCAAACTCAGGTTCTCATATTTGGCTCCAAGTGTTTTACTCACTGTGCTATCTCCCTACCCTATCCTATGCTTTTATGAAATACACTGTATGTTGAAATTTCAGTTTTATAAGATGTAGCACTCATAAAATAGTATTTTCAGGGCTGGCAGGATGGTTCACTGGGTAAAGGTACTTGCTAGTGAGCCTGATGGCCCTAGTTCCAATTACAGAGTCCCCCATCCCCCCATGGAAGGAGAGCTCCACTTCCTGGAAATTGTCCTCTAACTGCCATGTGAGCGTTTCCCTCCAAAATAAAAAAAATAAAATTTAAAACATAATACCAACAATTTGCCTGCTTTGTTTACTTTTCAGGGGTCTCAGGCTTTGCTTTCCCAGTTTGTAATTAGTGAAAAACACAGGTTATAGGGGCTCACTCAGCCATAGCAAAGCAAGCACTGATTCCTTGGTTTATATTTCATCGCGTCAGCCTGATGATGATGTCTGAAGTAGATTGGAAGGAGTAAGGCGGTAGAATGAGGGAGAAAACGGGAAGTTACTGCAGCAGTGCAGGCCGCGGATGATGGGATGGCCTAGGCTGGGAGGCAGCAGTGGAGGCGGAACAAGTGTGAACGTGGGTTAGTGTCTTGCAGGTGGAGAATGATAACTTTATTTTCTGTCATATAGCAGAGACAAAGATGACCATGAGGTGGTCTAGAAGACTTGAACATTTGGAGTGGAGGGTCTGGAGTTCCCTTTCTGACATCATACTTGTGAAGCACTCCAAGTTAGCTGGGTATAACTAGCTTGCTCATTTGTGTTGCGGATGCAGACTAGGGATTTGAGAAGTAAAGCTGTGATGCCCACGGACACATTGACTGTTTGCACTCAGAGGTCAGGAGGGACCAGTAAGAGACAGAGGGGGGTGGTCTATGTGCAAAGTGAAGGTAAGTGTTTTTCTCTCCGAACAAAGGGATGCTAGTTAATTTTTTTTCACACTTTAGGTCGTCCCCATAAGGCTGATGAGGTGGAACAGGCTTGCCATGTGTTTACTCTCCCAATCCCCCAGTTGAGGGCCATCAGCACTACAAAAGGTGGTGGTTATTTTACACGGCAGACCCAGGTTTCTCTTGGGGGTCTCTAGTCCTACTACTGTGAGCCTCACTGGGACACAGCATCACCTGACCTCACTCCAGAGCCTTGAGGAAGAACTTAATTTCTGCTTCTTCTTTCCTGCAGGTGACTCAGAAATATGTCAGTGATTTAACACCCACATCTGAGAATGCTCTTGTCCATGAACTGAAAGTGTAATGTGCTGGTTTTCTTAATTCAGGGAAGGTGAAATGTCACTTAGACATAACTTAAGATTTGCTATTTATTTTCTTTTTTCAAACCCCACCTCTAAAGATTTGCTATGTATTTTCAATAATAATTGGGTAAAATTTTTTAAATCACCCAGGTATATTTTGGCAGGTAGTATAAGCATGATATTAACAACACGTATAGAGATGTTTGTTCCAAAGACCTTTGAGAAAACGCATCATTGGAGGCCCACATCTGAACCAGCGTTTACTTATGGCTCTGATTGTGACTGTTGACATCGCATTCGATTTTCTCTTCACACTGGTACTTTTGATGGCCTGTTAGTAGAAAAGACTTTCATCAGCACGATAATAGAGGTGTTTTGCCAAAGACCCACCCTCTACTTTGCCTTATCTGAAGTTAGCCTGGAGCTTTCCTTTAATACAGTCTCTGGTCTCCCCTCACTCAGCGATGTGTATGTCTGGATCTAAGATAAAGAGGTAGGGAGTCACCTGCTTTGTCACACACTCCCTGACAAGTGGTATGACTAACCTGGGCACCATTCAGAATGGGGAAAGTCTTACCCTCTCAGATCTGGGGTCCTCTCTCTAGGGCTGTGGCCACCTTCTGTGGTGTAAGCCGCCTCCGCTCTAGTTCTTACGAGTTCACCTCCCATCATTTGATCCAGCAGTTCTAATTCTAGGCTTGTATCTACAGGAACCGAATCTGTACCTTGAAGAGGTGTCTGCTTTTGTGTCCATTACAGCATTAGTGGCAATAGGCACTTTACAGGAACAACATTTATTTGCACTGTTTTCAGGACAAGTGGCCATAAATGAGCTGTTCAGAAAGGAGAGGGTGGGATCTGAAATGAACACTCTCTTCTGCACTGCCTCCATCAGTACCACACATTCCTGTGAGGGAGTGTGTGTGTGTGTGTGTGTGTGTGTGTAAGTCTTACTGTGTAGTACTGGCTGCCTCTGCCCCTGGAGGTCTGGGTTTAAAGGTATGTGCCACCCATATGCCTGGGCAAAAAGTGTTCTTGTTGGAAAGAGTTTTGGTAGACAGGCAGACATGTGTTTATAATAGATGATCTTACTAGAAGGGGTGCATGCTTTCTGTCAGCCATGCTCTTGTTATAAAATGATGGCTGTGACATTGGAGGGGAAGAGCCAGGACGGTGAAGAGCGTGGAGCATCCTCCCTATTTAGCTGAAAGGAGGACGTTGTTCACAGAGTCGAAGACCCCTGAAATCCTTCAGTGTTTCAGGTTCCTGTCTCCCTCTCTGGGAGCTGAAGCAGCAGGTGTGGAGGGAGGTCCCTAAATCTTGACTGGTAAAATAAACGCAAGTGTTTCTTACCAGGCATGTTTGGGAAACATCATGGCATGCTGTGTCTCGAGCTCCTTTTCTGGGCACTAGGAATGTTTGCACCAGCCACACACCCCACCTGTGGAAAAGGAGCTTTCAGGTCTAGGTCCAGAACAAAACCTTTGCAGCTCAGCGGTTTTCTAGCTGTTAACCTTCTGATGTCTGAAGTAAAGGAGCAGCTATGAGAGAAGTGAAATGTTCCTGCCTGCCGGGCATGCGCACCTCATCCTTCCGTTCAAGTGAGAGTTGTGTCTTAGTGACATAAATGCACAGGAGCCTATCATGCCAAAAATGATTTTCTACTGTGAGCCATTCCACAGTACAGAGGCATTTCCACGTTTCTGAATTCTTTTGTGGGCAGGCATGTCTTCTCAGGATTCAACAATCGGCAGAAGCTGGGGAACTCCAAGCGTTCGAGTTCTCTCCAGTAAGGGGACCATTTGTGCATATACTCTGAAGACGGAGGTTGGGGCTAGAGTCAGTGGAAGAAGGTTTGCTAGCATGTGTGAGCCCTGGGCTCAGTGCTCACCACTGGGATGAGTAGTGGGGAATGGGACACTGCTGAAGATGAGATTTTAAGAAACGTAGGAATAGTTGGATTAAGTATAGTGAATTGAGAACTACTAGTTGGCCGTAATGCTTAGCAATACAGTGATTCCCGATGACCTCGGCCAATGCAGTTTCTGCAGATTAATGCCTACCAAGCACGAGAGAACAGGAGAGCAGTTGGAGATGAATGTAGAGACCCAAGAAAGGAGTTTTGCTGTGAGGGAAGGGGGAAGCCTGGGTGTTGTCTAGGAGAAAATGTGAGGCAGAGAAGAATTTTGAAAG